GCCAAGCCAGCGTTGAGAAGAATGATCTGAGAGAACCCGATCTGTGCCTGCAACACATAAACGAGATTCGTTAAAAAATGGCGAAGAAAATTCAATCTACGCCTACAACGCATAAAACGAGCCACCGACCCCGAAAAAGAACTGGGAAGCGGTTCCCGCAAGTCGGCGGTTGCTCTCCGGAGATGTGGCCGTATACTCATTTGGCATAGCCAGCTGCTCACTGATCGTGTGGAATGCCAGCTCAGCCGCCTCCGTGTCAGTGGCAGCCTTGGACGGGATGTCCACGGGATTGGACTTGTCCGAGCGTTTCACTCCCTTTCCACGCCTGTCATCCACCTTGGCTCGCTTCGAGACCGCCTCGGGTGATCCCAGTGGCAGCACTCTCTTCCCCGCCCCGCGCGACACAGGAATGACGCCGTCCCTGGTCGCATTCGGGGAATCAGCATCCAGCCGGATAGGCGAGGCCATAGGCGGTTCATTCTGCACGACTGCAGCTGAGGAAGACCCGCCACCCGCTCTTGCGGTCTTCTTCACATCCGCTTTCTTCCTTCTCGGCCTATTCGCATCCGCTAGCTCCCTCAGCCCTGGAGAGGAAATGCATAAGTAAAAGGATGATACAATAAACATCAAGGCCAAAAGAACACACAACTAACTGTAAAAGCCACGAACGAGCTGATAAGCGCTGTCAGAATCGCTGTGTCGGACTCGCATTTGAACAGCCTCTACAATACGGTTTACATGGTCGCGCACCGACTGAGGGAACAAGTTAGAATCACACCAAGCATCCTTCGATCCAACCACGTAACCAGTAAGCGGTTCAGCATCGCCACTGTACCATTTCCCAGATGGCTTGGCAAAAAAGAATTCCCTATACCAGGGAGAGTCCAGCTTCGGCGCCCCGGTGATAAAACCAACCGCGGTCTCCCGCCGACCGATCGACCAATAGTTAGTCGAATCTCTGATGTTGTAGATCAATCTGAACGCCTCAAAACACGGCTCCTCTTTAATGCGGTCACAGGCCAGACGATACATCACGGAATGGAAGATGATCGTCGGAGAAAGCCGCCCCAAAGTACAGTTGAGCCAATGCAACACCTTCGTTAGAATGGGATCCAGTGGGAAACGGAGACCCAACTTAACATGCAAAACGTGTATTGGTATCCAACCGCTGGGGCAAGACCCAGAGCGGCTAATCTCTGAGGGCGCCGCGTACTGCCACTCCGGGGGCATGCAAAGGGTCTTAAGACGATGCAACACGTGCTCGGGGTTGAAAACCGTCCCCAAGGTCTTGGGCCCTTGCTCAAACACCTCCTCCGGAATGGACGCGCCCTCCCACATTCCTGCGTGCCGAAGAATGGTGTATACAGGATCTTGTATAGCCACCAAAGGCGGTCTCGGCTCGCCAGACTCTGACACCCCCAAAGAAGAGGAAGTACTAGGAGCGGCCTCCGACCGCACACCATCACTGCTCACCTCAACATCTTCCTCCGATGAAATGCTATCTAACCCTACCCGCTCAAACTCACCCAAATTATCACCCACAGCTGAAGACGTAGCCATAACCCCAACTGGTACAGGGCGCGTGTTAGCACAACAGTCATCTAATTCTATACATTCCCCAACAAGACAGCCGCCTAACTCAGAGGCATTCCCAACATATAATTCTAGCCCAGATAAATCCCACACACACTCAGAGGTGTTTCGAATGGGAGAAGAGCGGTTCATACCTTGTGAGGTGGCGCCGGCCATGGCAGCACTAGCGGTTTTCTTCCCCGACCGAGGAACCGCCGATGGCGCTACTGAACTCGGGGCAGCTCTGTCGACAACGACGACGGGGGAGGAATCGGCGGCGGGGGCACTACCAGCGACGACAGTATCGCACGCGTCAACGCCAGAAGAAGAGGGTGCAGCGCCGCCCGACATCTCAACAAGGCTGGTCGGCGTCGGACGACGGCACGATTTTGAAGTCGAAAAGAGAGGTCGGTCAGACAAGGAAGCAACCCGCAACAAACGAAAAAAATTACACCCCCACCGCCAATATAGAAGAAGGAGAGCAAACTCTTACCTCGGGCGTCGATCGGATTTATAGGCGTCGGCGACGATGAAATCTGGTCACACAGAAAAAAGGAGAGGAAGAAGAGGACGAATGGTTTCCAAAATGAGAACGTATTTTGGCGGACCAACTCTCCTTCCCATACACTTATAGCGAAAAAAGGGAAGGACGAAATCCCGAAGCGACAGGCCTCGAATCCCGCACCCCCAGGAGTGACGTTTTGCCTCTCGGTGTCAGAGCTCCGCTCCCGAGGCGCGACAAGTGGCCAAAAAGCAAACGGCGAGGGCGGCCGCCTCAGACTACCCCTCAGGCGCCCGTCGCTTTAAATTCCCGCGACCAGGGGCAAAGGGGAAATCATGCGGAAAGCGGCTAGGAGCCGCCTCTAGCAAAAGAGCCTTGAACGCTAAGCGGCCCATAACCGCTCAATGATCGCAAGAAGAATCAATTAGACGCGAAAACCTAAAGCTTCTCCCGCCTAAGGGGCAAATGTTAGGCCAGGCATTGAGCCACAAGGCCCATAGGCCCAAAAGCATTCAAGGCCCAAGCAAGGGCAGGCAAGGCCCGAATAGAAGAACCCAATCAGAGGCGGTCCGACACATCCAATGAGGACGAGACCGCCCGACAATGCAGAAAGGGTACGGACAAAGGACCGCCCGACAATCTGGCTTTAGTGTACGAAGTCTGACAAAGGACAACGGAAAAGCCAGAGGCGTCCTAGACCGCCTGACACGACATTTAATGCGCATAACCCAGTCGAAACTAGTATAAATACCCCTCATAGGGTCACATTGATGGTAACTTCGACCAACTCCATTCTCTCTCTTATTTACTCACACTTCACTTCTCTCTCTAACTTAAGCATCGGAGGAGGTCCCAGGAACCCCCTGAGGACCTTTCTGCAGGGTTTCGGAGACCGTCCTCGACCATCGAAGCCGCCCAAGGCCAGTGGAGTCTCACAAACCGCTTGGGACAGTGCATATCCATTATACTAGCCATTATACTAGCCAAAATAGTTGGGGTTTTACCCATTTGTCGTACAAGAATTGGATATAATATCAAAACCATACCCCATACCAGATCGAGTTTCGGATATCCACGGTTATCCATAAATAATAATTTCTCTTTACAACTTCAACCAACATATTAACTGTTACACGTATGCTGACATTACATAAGTGAAAAAGTACATTGATAAATTACTAAAACGAAGAAAATTAGTTAAAACAATACAATTTATTGAACTTATTATATATGTATGTATAATCAATATAAAATATGTTGAGGAAAAATGGCACCTAGGACGCAATTTTGGCCATCGTTCTACGCACTAAGCCTGCTGATCGCTTTTGGTTCTGATAGTTGTTTTGTGGGCAGAGTAACTCCTTATAAAGATATATCTTCAACTGGTGACCGAATGCACAATATAATAGTAAACTTTTTATATGAAGTTGGATTGACTTCAAGATCTCCCTATTATTGTACCTCACTTTACAAAAAGTAATATTTTGTGATGTTTATTGAACTTTTAATTCATATATTTTGTACTGGAGTTTAATATGAGCAAAGCTCAAAACTTAGGGGCATTTGTTGCTACTAGTTGCAAGTGTTGAAAGAGTACTTACTGCAATGAACAACGTGAAAAAACACTTCAGAATCAAATGAGTGATGAAATCATGAATATTTTTCTAGTGGGGTATCTTAATATCACTTAGAATTTGAATGATGGATATATTTTAGAAATTTTTTAGAATATGAAAACACATCATGAAACTTCATTATATTTTTTTAATGTTGGACCTACCTTAGACAAATTTCTGACTAACTCACTAGTCGAGAGGGTCTATTTACAACCATTTTCACAATGTTTTCTGAGAAATATTGTAAGGTATAAACTCTTGTGCTTGCATATCTGAAGGATATCTTCCGCTTTACCTCCAGAAAAGGAATTTCCTAGTGAATCAGAGCTTATTTGGCCTTCTTAAGAGTGGTGTTTTGGTACCATTTTGGCTTTTGATTGAGAATTTGGGCCATTATTTCTGGGCTTGGGTTCCTGCTTATTTTTTTACTTTCAATAGTTGGGTCTTAATGTCTCTAGTTAGTGTAAGGTGGTCAACTAAGGTGCTCTTATATGAAAATACACGAAATACTACCTAAGGCCAAAGGTCAACAAAAGTATAAAAGCATTCCTAAAACTAAAAAACACACATTTAGCCAATTACCAAGCAAATCCAAGTTAATATGACAACAAATATGCAAAAATCATGTATAACATATCATGAAATAATAGTATATAACATATATTTTGCGTCTAATCAATAATTGTAAGCTAATTTGTGGGTTAATAACTCCCTCATAAAAAAACTAGACTCATATTCTAAATTTCAGTGTACATTTGACCAAGTATATTGTAACCATAACAATATAAACAGAATTTGGAGAAGCCCGGGAAAACAAGTTTGGATAAAAGGAAGCCAAGCAAACAAGTAGATCCCGTTCTATGATTCTATCTAATAATCTAACACAGTAACACTAACAATTTGAAGATGATTTCCCCCGCAATTACTCTCACACCAGCCAAAAAAAATCCCGCCATTAACAACAAATTTATTCAGCCATCTTACCACCTTGTCCCATCTTTTTCATGATACCGCTTTGCACATATCACTTGTGGTCCATAACAACAAATCCCCTTCCATTAAATAGTCGTTTACCCCAAAATACTATAAAGTGATGCTTTTTGTCAGAATTCACTGTGCAGTAAAATGTTTTTTGTGCTTTTCTTCGATTGTTTAATAGGAATGTCAGATGGATCGTTGGGTTGTTAATAAACAAGCTAAAAACGTAAAAATAACAACAGACTTTGAGTGAGTGGTCAATCACACAAAGAAGACCCTCACATATTAAAAACCAGCCCCCAACTGTTGTTTCTTCTTCTTCCCTCTGTAATCTCACTGATTATAGACATTATTCCCTATTTCTCTTCCCCGTTTCACAGACCACAACAGTCGTTTATTAATATACAATCCTTATTCTCCGTCTTTACACAGCTTGTTTGCTTCTTCCTTCCTCTGCGGTTTTGGTTTTGTCCCTCTCTCTTTCTCTCTCTCTGCTCCATCCCATTAGAGAGAACCACCTTGGCTTGCTTCACCACCAAGTGTCCTTTTTATTTTCCCCAGCTGAGCACTGGAGCTCTGAATTTTCAACAGTTGTTGTCTTCTCTCTTTTTCTCCTCTTATATTATTTACCCATCTTAAGAACATGGCTCTCCTGTTTCTTTTACCTTCCCTCTTCTTCACATTTGGCGGACTCGTGACTCTGTGAACCCATCTCGGTGGGGTTTTCTCTTTGTTGGTTATCTTGTTGCACAAATTGCCGGAAATTTTTACTTATAAAGCTCAAGACTTTCGCGGTGGGTTCTTCATTAATTTGTTATTCCGTTGCAAAAGAGGCAAAGCAGGAATCTTTGGGGCGAGTTATCAAATTTGGTTGATTTGGGTCATGGCAGTTTGCTGTGATCTTGAAGTTGATGTTAATGGAGAAGAGTCCTTCATGGTGGACAAGGTAAGGAAGAAGAACTTAATCCAATTCTGAGTTCCTTTTGTTACTTCTCTTTCTGCTACGAATTTGTTCTGTTGGCTTCTAGGTTCATGTTTATGCTCAGGGGCGTTTGTACTGGAAATCTGGTGGATTCTATCTTTGTGCTTGACAAATGATGTATTTGAGTAACTCAATGGCGGTTTAACATCAAATTCTCCATCTCTTACTGTTCTGTATTACTGTCAATGATGTCAATTTGCTGATAGTACCAGCACAACCGCCATTAAATCTCCAGACCCAACATTACAGGCTTGTGTGGGGTACATTAATAGCCGTTTCTTGCACCTTCCCTTCTTCTATTTTGGCCGCTTTCTTCCCTCCATTGATGTAGAGTGGTGATGGTGGTTTTTGTGTGTACGAATTCATTCCCTTTCCCTCATTTCCCCTTTCTCATTTATTGCTATGTGGTTATGAGGGAGGGGTGCCTTAAATGTTCATATTGCCCTTTCCTTATTTTCTTGTGTGCACCACTTTTGAGAAAGGACTAGATGTTGAAGAAGAGTGAGAGACTGAGGGAAAGAGAGAGAGAGAGAGAGTTAAGTTGGTTTCCAAAGCCATGGTATTGCTGTTCATTACCCTCATATGGTGGGATGTTGAGTTATTTTCAGCTGCACATCTCTTTCTCTTTTTTGTTGCCCATGCACGATTTAATGCTGTCTATAACGACCTCTCACCTTTCTCCTGCAAGCCTTTAGCTGTACATTCCATTTCCACCCTTTGTAATTAATCTCTTCTTCTTGGGGTTTTGTGTTTTGGGGGCCAAATTCACTACTGAGAGCTCTATTGATAATGAGAGGCTTTTAAGGTTCTGAAAGGTTTTAATTATGACAGTGATCGGAATTTCCTTGCTTTTCTCACATTCCCCCAACCAATTTTGTTGGGTTGCACTTTAATTTGGACGGTTTTACCTTTTTTTCTTCTGTGGAAAAGAAGTTCAACTTCTTGTCTATGGTTTTGCGTGGTGATTACTGTTGAAGTCAATTTGTGGGGCTCTTTCTGATTATTATGTTTTGTCTTGGTGTTGGCAGAAGATTATATCTTCGTATTCAGGAAGATTAAGCAAGTTGTTTGGGAAATCAACTGGTGGTACTAGGACTTTGAAGGTCATATTCAATGATTTTCCAGGAGGAGCTGAGGGCTTTGAGCTCATGTTACGGTTCTGCTACAACAATGGCAGAGTTGATATAAACCCTTCCAATCTGTCCTTGCTGTACTCTGCTGCAAAGTTCATGGAGATGAGCAGTGATTTTCCATCTACAACTAGACCCAACTTATTGGAACAAACTGAGAAATCCCTTCAACAGATAGGCTACTGGACTTGGTCTGAGCTTCTGGTCACCTTAAAGCAATGCCAAGACTTGTCTAATTCATCAAGCATTGTCGAGAAATGTATGGATTCACTTATTGGAAGGATGGCTTTGTCTAGTGAATCAAGTCCATGTCCTTCCACTTCTTCACAAGATAGCTCGGGGACAGTCCGGGTTTCATGTGATAGTCGAAGTACAGAGAGTCTCAAGACCTGCTTTGTTAGAGGAACATGGTGGTTTGAGGAGATATCTGGTTTGAGTTTAAGTTTCATTGAGATGCTAATCAAAGCAATGGCTTCAAAGAAATTTGATCATGGCACAATTAGTAAGTTCCTCTTTTACTACCAGAAATCCAAGTGCTACTCAACCTCAGGTGATGAGAAGGTCAAGACGATTGAGGTTGTTATCGATTTGCTTCACATTCTTGATTGGAGCTCCATTCCTTGCAAGAGCTTATTCGGTTTACTCAGAGTTGCTTTGAGTTTGAATGTGAGCAAATGTAGTAGGAAAAAGGTGGAGAACATGATAGGTTCCCAGTTGGATCAAGCAACTCTGGACAATCTATTGATTCCATCTCCTCATGGTGCCAACTCTCTGTATGATGTGAATCTTGTTCTGAGATTCTTGAAATCGTTTCTCCAGGGCGGAATTTACTCAATTCGATTGAAGAAGGTTGCGAGTTTGATGGATATGTACATTGCAGAAGTAGCTCCTGATCCTAGCTTGAAACCATCCAAGTTTCTTGCTTTGGCCATGGCCTTGCCGGATTCTGCTCGGGACTCGTACAATGAGATGTACCGTGCCATAGACATGTATCTAGAGGTAAATTTCTCTGTTGTTGTTAAAGTGGCTGCTGAAGTGCTTGGACTCTAACCTGGTTTCTTTGTCTGCACAGGCTCATACTGGATTATCTAACGAGGAAAAGATGAAGATATGCTGTGCACTGAACTATGAGAAGGTGTCAGCAGAAGTATGTATGCACATTTCTCAGAACAAGAAGTTCCCATCAAGAACTGCTATCCAAGCTCTCATGTCTCAGCAAGTGAAGCTGAAGAACCTGCTCCAACCCACCAATGCCACAACCTGCTTTGTGGATTCACCTTGCAGTAGCTTGGGCGAACCAGATCAAAAGGGGAACAAGGACGAACAGCAAATTGTCCTCTATGCTGCCAAGCTCGACTTCTCAGCCGATAACGAGAGGCTCAGAGCACATCTACAAGGCATGCAATGGAGGGTGATGGAGTTGGAGAAAGTTTGCAGAAAGATGCAGACACAAATGACAAAGATGATGAAATCTAAGACACCCAATCGGAGCAGTTCGAGATCCTTGCCAAAGCTATGCTCTTGATGTGGTGAAGCAAAAGAGAGGATCATACATCAGGATTCACAGAATCCATCCCTTTTGAATCATGACCAGTATCTTTCAGTTGTATAGAAGGATAAAAAAAATTGTTGTTTTTTTTTTCAAATTTATTTCCCACTTCCATTGCTTTGTTGGGTTTGTAGCAAAGTCATTTCTTCCTTTTCCTCTTTGTTCTTTAGGCTGCCATAGTAAAAGGCAACTACTGAATGGGACTTCTCTTTTGAAGCAGCAGAGGCTTGGGATATTGGCTGCTGTATAGTAAATTAAACCACAATAGATGAAAAGAGAAAGAAAAAAAGAGAGGAGCTTTTTGGCGGTGCAATTGAATTCCTTCTTGGGTTTTGTAGTTGGTCCCCAGAATGTTAAGTCAATATCTGTTTTGCTGTATGAATTCCTGCAGTTTGTTGGGATACTAAAGAGGCTGGAGAAGAATGTGAATTTATCAGTTTCTTTGGTTTCTTCTGCAACACAAGGGCTCCCAAAAACTTGTGCCATCATTTTGAAATATTGTAGCTTTATTCCCTCTCCAATCTCTGAAACAAATTTGTCTCATGCTTTGGATAATCCTCTTCCTCCCTCTGTTTTCCAAAATTCTGATTGTCTTGGAGCCCTTTTGGATGAGTTTTTATCTCTTCCATAGTTCCATTCCTTTGCCTTCTATTCTCCCTGCCCCATGCCATTGTACCATGGGATGGAATCTATGGCGTGGTAGCCATGGTATTGACTTAGCAGCCGGTTGTCAGTATTATAGAATAGAGCCAAAAGGAAGAAACAAACAATTGGTTGGAGTAACAAGATAAGGGTCAGTGAGTCAAGTGGTTAGTTGACTGACATCCTTCCAAAGTAATCATTATAAAAAAAAAAGGAGAAGATTCTTAATTACATATATATGTTTAATGGTGTGTTGGTTTAGAGCATCTCCATCCATAAATATTTTGGCAATTGCCAAATGCAATCCTTTAGTAATTGGTAGGATTAATAGGTGATTGCTAAGTTAGCAAGCTTGCTAAATTCGCAAGTTGCCTAAAAATGCCACCTAGACACGGGGACCCACTTTCATGTTTTTTTTTTCTTTTTCTGCCACAAATTGTATTCTTCTATATTATTTTGAAGTTGTTGATTAGAAAATATTTTTTTATGATTAATTAATTAGATAAATTATGATACACATTTTTTGCTATAAATTATATCTTATATTTTTATCATCCAAATACAAAATAAAATATATGTATAACTATAATTAAATATTCTTGAAACCAGAAAGAAATTACTCTAAACACAAATAGTTAGATATTTTTATAATTCAACTTATAAATTCTAATTAGTCATAAATATAAAATTGTCAAATATATGAAAACATAAGTTGTATATGGATATGTTGTGGGTCCCATCAATAGAAATTGCTAAGGAATTGCTGAGATGGAGATGGCTAGAAATTGTTGAAGGGATAAATTGCTAAGTTGCTTATGTGGCTATGGGGGACCAATTTAGAATTGCTAAACAATTTTTGTGATGGAGATGGTCTTACTCATCAAGTTAGGTTGCCTTTGGATACTATAATGGTGGATGTAACACAATAGGTTGCTAAGTATGTTGATAAATTTCTTTTAATAAAACAAGTTTTTTAATAGATAATATTATGTATTCTGAAAATATACAAATGCTAAAATAAACGGCTTTTGTAGAAGTCATGCATTCTCAAATCACTCTTACTTGCATTTAAAATATACAAAATGCATACCTTCTTCCATCAACCTTATGAGATGATATATTATAACAACACAAACAGAAATCAATAATTGGTTACCCACATGCACCTATAATTTTTCTTTTAGATTCTCTTGTGTTGTGTGGAGGAGATAAGAGTAGAAAGCTAGATCACCTGCTATTTTGTCCATTATTCCCATCATCACTATAATTAAAAGGGAGAAAACGGACTTGATGATCAACCCGTGAGAGAATTTGCTGGTGTGGTGGGCTGGTGGCTCGTTGGAACTTAACCTAAAAAATAGGGTTATAGGTATAATATGCTCCTCTACTATGACATTTTATTAAACATGTCCCACTACTATTTTTTACATCAAACATGCTCCTATAATTTGGAAAAATTATCAAACATGCCCTTCAGTTGAAATTTCCATTGAAAAAATCGTAAATTATGGTTGAACCGAGATTTAGACGACCTGACATCGATAAATGGGAGGGGAAACGTCAATTTTGACCCTTGTTTTATTTCTCTAAATTGAAATTATTAGGGATATTTTAGATATTTGGGTCGCCCAAACCAAAGTTCGGTCTTGGTTAACGGTATTTGGATGGAAATTTTAACAAAAGGACATGTTTGATAAGTTTTCTAAAGTACAGGGGCATGTTTGATGTAAAAAATAGTAGATGGGCATGTTTAATAAAACGTCTAACCTAAAAAATAATACAAGTTTCTTTCTTGTCGCCAAATTGAGTTCCTATATTCCTAATCATAACCATTTGAGACCACTGTTTTAAAATCTTTATATTCGGATAAGGTACATACCACTACAAAAAAGATGAGATTTAGGGACGCTGAAAGTCCTCCTCAGAAATGAGAAAAATCGTCCCCAAAGTTTTTAGCCGATATCGGGTATCTTAAACTCTTGTCCTTACTTCTTTTAGAGACGATAGTCATCCCCGATATTAGTAATTCGTTGTCTCGTTTATTTTCCATGAAATACAACATGTCATCCCTGTAGCTATCACTTTAGCGACAATAGCTTGTCCCCTCAGCATCATTTCAGGGGGCGAATTATTGTCCCGAATAATCAATTTAGTGATTGTGTTGGACCTACCTGGGGATAATACATCTTCCTCTTTTCATTTTATAGGGTCGACATGTTATTCCTATAGATATCAAATTTGAGTCTAAAAATTGTTCCCAAAAGCTTTATTCTAGGACTATGAGCGGTCTCTTATACCATATCCTTAGAGACGAGAAGCTGTAACATATGGACGAACAATTGTCCCTTAACTTGTATATTGAGGGACGAGGATTTGACACTTATGCACCTTTTGAGAACGGATAATTGTCACATGTACACTTGTGGGAAAAATCAATTGTTCCTCACCTGTATTTTTTGGGACGTCTAATTGTCACCTATTTAACAGGTAGGGACAATCCATCATGAATTATGACTCATGGATATTTTATGGTAGACATAACACCTTTTAACTTAAGATGGCAAAATGTCATAAAATTATCTCCACCGAAAATGAAAACAAATCTACTACAATGTCATCCAATACTAGGAAAACCAACATTCATCTTTTAAAAGGCTAAATATTCTCTAGTAAAACTAGAACAAAAAACTAAAATTAAATAGATAACAAGTTCTAGACACATAATTTTTTTATTATCTCTCTAACAAAAAAGGTAATAAGCAAAATATTGTTTCTATTTTTTAGTAATGAACAGTAAAAATGAAAATAAAGAAGTTTTAGTTAAATTTATTCCTATTATTCAGTAATATATAGTGAAAATAAAGAATTTTAGTTAATAATTAAATCATAATGAGCTTATTATAAATGTGAAAATAAAGAAGTTTCAGTTAAATAAAAATGAGATTATGATAAAACCGGATGTAGCAGATAAAAATTCATTGCGAACACTACTCATTAAAAAAGGTGACAAACTAAGAAGATTTAGTTTAATAATAAAATATCAGTGATCTATTAGTTCCTACTTTTTAGCGATGAACAGTAAAAATGAAAATAGAGGATTTATAGTTAAATTTATTCCTATTATTTATTAATAAATAGTAAAAATAAAGGATTTTTAGTTGATAATTAAATAACAATGAGATTATGATAAATAATGAAAATAAAAAAATCAGTTAAATAAAAATGACTTTATGATAAAATTGAATCTAGGAGATAAGAACTCATTGCGAACAATACCCGTTACCAAATTTAATATGGTTTCTATTCTTTAGTAATGAACAGTAAAAAATATGTATGCTTTTAATTATGTAATAATAATAATAATAATAATAATTTAAATATATATAAGTGGAAAGTTGTATTTTAGATAATTTCCACTGAAATAGAATATCGTCAGCAAAGTTAATTATTATCTAATGATGATCTTCTCAACCAAAATGTATGCTTATACAAAGATATTCTTTACCTTTCCTATTGAAATATTAAAAAAAACTAAGAAATAGACTTCATATTATTCGTGGATGACATAACTTGAGATCCATTGTCATACACTCAGACTAAGTTATCAATTCTTGGCTCCAGCTAGCCTTCACACAAGTCCCACCAACAGTGGCAATAGGCAAGTAAGCAACTATATATGAAAGCATAAACCATAATACATGAAAGTACAAGAGGAAGAACCAAGAATGTTCTTCTTCCCTTGGCCCCTTTTTTGGTGATTAAGTGGTGTTACCTCACTGATCACATCAACAACATAGTACAAGACAGAGAAAGGAAACATTTTCACATATGATCGATCAATATTTGCCATCCATAATTAAGTTGTGTTCTCACGAAATGATTGTCAATCTATTTCGAGCTCAAAATATGTCGTTCGCAATGCAACTCTTCACGACAACAACATATTTCAATTTATGGCTTATTACATTCCTATAACCGATTACCCCTGCTCACTACTGATAAAAAGATTATCTTCCAGATCATCAAATTATAGAAAAGTGTTTTGGGTTCAACCTAAGAAAAATTTCTCCGAACCAAAGATTGAAAAGCCGTATTAGAATTGTATCGGAAAAGTCATCGGTAGAACATTTTATGCTGAGCTCATAGTTTAAATGTGGTTAACCCATTACATGCTGCTAAATACCTATTACCGATTTCGCTTTTGATAGACACTTTCTCTAGTCGAACCGCCGATAATGTATGATTTTTCAATTCTAGCTTTTAACTTCATAAAAAATTTGGTCCAGCAGTAGCAAAACAGGTGAAAAGGCAAAATTTGTTTCATAATGGAAGCATGCACCATGGATCAGCTAATCAGCTTAAATATTTGGCAACCGATCCTGGTGATCACGTTCTCTCAGAATATTTCAGTTCTTGGTGATGTACAAAATGGTAATGATGGTGAATGAATGATGAGGTTGTCAAGTAGAAGGAAAAGTTGTTCATCAAATGCTTCTTCCACTGGACAGGTCCCCAAAACAGGGGGGTTTTGGTGTAAAGGGTTGCTCATGGACCATGGTTAATGGCTGCCACAGTGCCACTACCAATATTTGGTGAAAGCATATAATTGGATTGGTTGTTGTTAATCCAAAAGAATAATTGCATTGGTTGTTGAGGGGCCTGTGGCCAACCAATCTTTCAGCTATATTAAGTTGGGGGATTTATTTAGGGGAGTCAGTGGCCATAACTTCATCCAATCAATTTGGTGTTATTAGTGTGGTGTGTTAGCTTTAATTGACGAGAGAATGTTAAATTATGTGTATGAGCATGGACGGCCGGCCCACGGATTAGTACAACATGACATGATTAGGGTATGATAGAGTT